CACAGACAGGTAGCGAGGAGACGAGAGCATTCATAGGCTCCCGATTTGGGGCACTGCTCCGCGAGGGGGGTTGTGTTCTTTTTGCGCACAACCTGCCTTCCCCATGCTCACCCCATCCTGAGCTCTTGGTGATTGCGACAGCAGCAACGGTGTGTGATGCTGTTTCTGCTTCCCAGAGTACAAAAACTTGTGAAGGCAAGCCGAGTTCACGGCATCCACCCTCCCCTGCGGATGTCGCAGGCCTGGGTCGGAGAGGGATTTGACTTGTAGAAGGAAGCTGCACCGAGCTGAGCCCATTACCACACTGCCAAACAAAATCATTATTGTGCAGGATGCTGCCCCCAGCCCAGCTCTGCTTTAAATAGCAACTGGGTTGCTCTGTGAAGAGGCTCTGAGACTTTGCTCCCAGCTTTTCGGCTTTCCAATTCTATTCCGTTCGGTTGATCTTTTTCTGCTTTCCTTTAAGAAGCGCCTCTTATGCAACTCTTCCCTTCGGCTTGCACACTTGCGAAGCAACGTAACGGCGAGGCAGCTTGAGGTCAGCTTTGGCAGGAAGACGTGGCAGCAAAAGCAACGCATGGCAGGGAAACCACTAGGCAAGGTCGCACGTGACCAAATCTGCTGAACCACGTACGGGAACAGCTGGGGCCCCGAGCAGCATCGCCAGGCGCCGCATCTAAAATCGCCTCCTTCCCAACTGGAGAGGAGTTACTCGCCGCTGCCAAGGAAACATTGTGGAAAACTCCAGCTTGGGAAGGAGGGTTGGGGAAATGAGCAGCCACAGAACATATCCCCGCTGGGTGAGATTCACCTGCACGGAGCAGCCGATTAGGATCAGCTTCCTTTTCTGGGTGGGAAGGCCTGCCCTGGGGCGACAAGCCAATCATATAAAGAGCAGACTTGATCGCGCCTCCAAAGAGGGCAGCCGGGAGATGCGTGTTGCCTAAAATATCTCAGACACAATAGTACCAGTCAGCCGCCCCAGGCCCTCTTCCACCCTGAATGAGCATGTTGTACGAGCAGGGTCAAGGGGCAAAGCAAGAAGTCCAAGCACAGTGATGCTTTAAGTTGGGAACGCTGGGCAAGCAGCCAGTTAAAAGGCAGACCAGAAAGAATCCTTCCAGAAAGCCTTCCCTTGCAAAGCCACAGGCCTCATGAGACCATATCCACCATTTCCCTTGCTCAAGAAGGCTAGAAATGGAAACGACCAAAGGCGGTGGGATGCTTTCTTTGCAGCGCACGTACTTTGCTTTTGCCCCACTATTTTTTGTCACAGGTCAAACAGGTTTTGCAGGTTTTAGAAGCACAACAGAAACATGCCAAACCTATTTGACCTGAAACTAGAGCAGGGTTAAGTGGGCCTTCAGTTCTCCCAGAGCCTAACTTTCTCTGGCCAAAGAGGATTCTCTGAGCTGATTCTACAGATAAGCACACCAGGTTGGGCAACAGCTTTCTTGCTTTGCATCATGCATTCAGTCCTAAAAGCAAGCAGCTGGGCTAAACCCCACCCTCAATTCCCCGTACTCAAAGCCAAACTAAAAGAGACAAAACTAAGCACTAGGAGCACACCTTTGGCTCCAAGACTGCAAAAGAAAGAGTCAGAAATGCAGAACGACATTGCTAACTTCGTAACACAGAAAGTCTGCCACGGTGGCTGGCAAACTCCATCTTTTCCCAGAAGTCCCCTGTCATAAAGACTTGTACCCAAGAAGGCTTTTAGGTGCTGAGTGGTGGCAGGACCCCCCTGCTATTGACAGGAGGAAACAGGGGTTTTGTTGTGTTTTGAGTTGCCACCACCAGTAAACCCCCTAGTCTGACTCCCTTTTGTCCCTCCAAGAAAAGAGGACCCCATTTCAGCTTGGTCCTCAGTGAAACAAGGAAATTGTATTACAAGCCATGTCCTCATTGCAGAGGACACGGGATTCGGAGGTTGGGGTGGAGGCGGTATGCAGGCAGGAAGCAAGACCAGTACACACAGATTTCAATCCATGCAAATGTACAGAGGATGAGCTGAGCTTAAGAGCAGAAAAATGAGAAATTTCAAAAAAACCAAAGGGGCAGATTCATCCGTTCCTAGCCTGACCTATATCACATCTTCCTGGCTAAAATGGGACCCTCACCGAAGCCAGTCCAAAAACAGGCTTAAATGTGCCTGCTTTCTTCATGTGAATTAAGGACGGAAGAACCAATGATCTCCCAGCTCACTGAAATTCTCCAAAATGCGGCTTCAAGCTTGTTTCTCCTTGCTCCGGTTTTCATTTTCAATTTATTTTTCTGCTTGGTTGATTGAGAAAAGTGCACATTTCAAAGGGGGAAATGTGCGTTTCTGTGGGCATGGTTCTAAAGGGGCAAACTTTTCCTGCACAGACACGCTCATTTTGGAATGTGATTGCACCGTTGATGAATTTGTGGACCTCTCAGCTGCCTGGGCGCTGGCGGGCAGACATGAGCTTGTGGGATGTTTTGCCGGCATTAAAAAATGGTCACACGTCCCTGATTTGGACTGATCTTCTTGGCCACACTGAGATTCCAGTACGAGGTTCCTCAGCTTTGAAACGGAAAGCGACCCTGTTTAACAGAAGCCCTGCCTCCCCCTCCCCCATCAGTTCGCAGACCCAGATGCAACCCGACTGCAGCAAGGGCCGCCGCGATACACGGCACTTCCCCGCAGCTGCTGAGCAAACAGCGCGGCACGGCTGAGTTACCAACTTCTCGTTTCACTGGCTTGACTCGAGCGGTCACAGCTGCCACTCCGGCTCAGTGGCAAAGCTTTCCAACTTGCAGCAAAATCTGCAGATGGCAGGATTTCTGGCTGATAGTTTACTCTCCTTCCCGCTCCCCTCCAACCCTGCCTGAGCAATAAAAGGCAGCGCTGCTCCCGGCGCCTCCTTTGCAATTATTTGTGTTCATGTTGCACTCCATTAGATCCACAGACAAGGATGGTTCTGTGATAGACGCTGCCAACCTGAACGTGGCCTTGAACAAGCTATTACTCCAGAAGGGGAGCCGAAATGGGCAGGCGGGAGGGACCCGGAGTGTCTCTGAAGTCATTTGCTACTTTGCTAAAGTGAAAGCATGCAAAAAGGGGCATATGTAGGTTCCATCTCTACCCGGGATTTCAGTAGGTGGGGCATCAAAGGCAAGGGAGGGAGGGAAACTGACATCTTTTTTACTGTGGGGGATATACAGATCTCCTCAAATACTTTGGCCACCTGATGAGAAGGAGCAGCTCCCTGGAGAAGACCCTGATGCTGGGAACGATTGACAGCAGAAGGAGAAGAGGACGGCAGAGGATGAGGGGGCTGGATGGGGTCACTGGGGCGGTGGGTGTGGGCTTGGGTGGGCTCCGGGGGATGGTGGAGGACAGGAAGGCCTGGAGAAAGGTTGTCCATGGGGTCGCGATGGGTCAGGCATGACTTTGTGACTAAACAGCAACAAAAAAATATACAGACCTCGTCTTGTGCAGAGGATAACGCAAAATTGAGTATTGGGCCAAGCTATGTCAGTCCTCTGACTCTGCAGTCCTTGTTGTGGGTTGCAGAGAAGGGTGCCCGGTGTTCCCCACAGCTCCAGCTTGACTTCACATGCATTTTAAATGTTAATATTATTGAATTTTATTCAGCCAGGGCGGCTTATTTTATTTTACTGTATATATTTTAATTGTCATTGTTTTAATGTATTTTGTATTCAATGTTGTAAGCCGCCCCGAGGCCTTGGCAAGGGGCAGCATAGAAATGGTTTAATAAATAAATAAATGATGCCAGTGTAAGGACAGGAAACAGTGTCCATTTGCAGTCTGTATTGCATCAAGCAGTCTATCCATATTACTAACAAATAATAGATAAGACACAAACACTGCCCTCACTCTGGTTTGGCTTCATGGCAATGCCTTGCAGCAAATTTGATTCAGTTGCATGACAACTGTCATTAACAGCAGTGCTAGAGAAGTTCACTCCGGAAACCTCCTTTTATGCATTTACTCATTCCATAACCCCCAGAGCCAAGCATGGACCCAAATACAATCTACAGTGAGAAATCCATACATTTCCAAGCTTGCAATGCATTCCACAATACACTATGAAGTGTGTTCAGCAACATGTGTGTATTTGAAACGTGAGCAAAGAAACATGTATGCATTTCCAAAATGTGCCCAAACTTGTCTTAGTCCCTGGGCCCATGCATCCGAAAGTGCAGAACCAACTGTGGACACTGATGTGACCGCTGCAAAGGATGTGTGACTTCCCATGTGGAATTTTCTTTTTCTGTTTTGTAAAGTGCATGTTTGTGTTGAACTGGAATGAAATGTGCTTCATTGGGGAAAAAATGACAATCTCAGAGACTCAGAGATGAGCACATCTATCCTTCCTTAGTTATGAAATCAAATCAGAGTGAGGGTAGCCAAAAAATAAAAATAAATAATGGTGCTCAACAGAGACAAAGACAACTGCAAACGGGAGGTAAAGACGGTGACCAGAGGAAGAAGGTTCTCTGACCCACCCCAAGCTTTCCCTTTCGCAGGAAAGATGCTTGTTCGAAAACAGGTTTGATAGACCCAGGCATTAAGATGCAAGCCATACTGGACACCAAAGGGTCAAATGCGGGTGGGGGGGGGGATTAAAAAGGCCTTTGTCTGAACCCAGGGAAAACACATTGGAGCTACTCAAGACACATTCATTGCGGCAGTAACAATCATTTAGCAACAATTATATTCCCCTCTCCCATCACCCATGTGCATTAGAATGTGACATTCTGCAAAATATAACATGGTGAAAATGACCTATAAGCGCTCTGTTGTGGTAAATGGGATGTCAAAACGGGGAAGCAGCATTCTGGCAGAACTTCCAAGATTTCCAGCGAGTGACCTTCTAAATAATTCATCCACAACCCCCACCATTCATATGAGGGGAGGGGATTTTACTTTCTCTCCCACTTCCAAGCCAACCGGGGCGGAAGCCCGCTCTGGGGGACATGGCACGTTCCTAGTTAGGATTCTGACTTACTGCGCTGCTACAGGGAATATCCTTCACTTTGAGCCAGGCCAGATCCAGAGTGCCTTCGCCCCTGTAGCAGGACTGTAGCCTTTCCTTGATACGATCGTTGATCTCCTTCAGAACAAAGATGCAGAGCGCGGACTCGTCCAAGGACTTCATTTTCCTCTTCTGCCCCTTAGAAAACACCGTGAAGAGAATGTCATCCTCCGGCGTGATACCCAAAGACCTGGCCAAAATGGCCCCTGCCTTTGACAAGTAGGCCGCCTGGAGTAATCGGTATTCTACGCCGTTCTTCTCACAGCCAATGGGCACCTCAACGTACGAGTTGAAGGCCGTATCCTCCTTGCACAAGCGGACCAGCTTAGAGGTGTAAACTTGTTCCTTGGTGGTAGAACCAGGTGGAGAGATCATCTCAGGCTGGAGGGTCAAGAAGTAAACAAAATTCCCACTGCTGAAGCCATAGATATAGTATATGTCAAAGTCCGGGATGATAGTGAACGTGTCCGATGGGATCTTGATCATGGAGGCCACGAATTCGTCATGGAAGACGTAGGCGAACATCCCTTCCGCTTCAGAATTCTTGGGGAGCTTTCGGCTGGAGATGGTTGGGAAGTACTCGGGTTTCCCATCCACAGCAGTTGCGACAAACAGCTTGTCATCCATGTTGTTGTATGAAACAATCACCCCAAAGACAGAACCGCTCTCATTCACCCCAGAGAGGTAGTGCTCCTTGTTGTGGAAGGGCTCCCCGAGCTTAAACAGGTCGTCCAGCCTCAAGAGTTTGCAGATGCCCTGGTATAAGCTCCCGCAGGCAATCAGCCGGTTCTCCTTGTAGTCTATGAGGAGCATTTTGTTAATGTTGTTGGTCATCTTCAACTGCTCGTTACAAGGCTGGACCAGTCTGGGAGGGTAACACTTTGGGTTGTCATTATCGGGACCCGTCTGATGGGAAGCTTGTACCACCAGGTCTCCAGAGAGTTTGTAGATCCAGTTGACAGCCCCCAGGTAAATGTACCCTTTCCTTTCGTCAACCACTAAGTGGTTGAAATAGACCTCTGCCATGTCCACAGTGAAATTAAGGAACGGTCTCTTTGGGTGGGAAGGCTGCTGCCGAGCCACGGAAGGCCACACAGACGTGCAGAGGAGAAGGTGCAAGGCGACGCAGGCCCATCTCCACATGTCTCCCGACATGGTTGCAAAAATTGTTTGTATTCCCAAAGGGGCGGGCAAGGGAGAAGGAGCAGCGGGAGCTGAGTTTCAAAGTGCTGATCCTGATCCTGCAGGGGAGGTACTCCTAGGGAGAAGAAATGGAAGGCACGTTACTAAGAAAAACCCTTCCCTCCACTTCAAGAGCCATCCCATCACACACGATGCCCCACCTTCTCCATGCTTAAAGCCAGCACTAAAGCTTCCCTTGGATCGAGAGACGCCAAGGCAGAGTAAACAAGCTCCCAGACTTATGTCCGAACAGCAGAAAGTATTATGACCCAGGCTGCAGAGCCTGAATATAAACCCCTTCTGGACCTGGTGACTTCTGGAGGCACTGGCCAGCAAACCATGGCCTTGCTGGCTGGAAATTATGGGAGTTGTCGTTCCACCCACCTGGGGGCACCAAGTCGGTTCTAACTCAACAATTCAGTGCAATTAATTCCACATGGGAGCTATTTTATGTAGGTACCACTCTTGCTATCGAAACACATGGCAGGAGAAACCATCACTGCCTCACCCTCTCCTGGTGAGGTCTCCTTGAGAGGTGGTGCTCCATGTACAACCATCCCTCCATGGCAACCAGCCCCAAACACCCAAGCTTCACCCATCTTCTCGGTCCCTCAGCCTGCTCCTGGCAGAGGGAATGCTGCATAAATAAAACTTAACCCAACACTGCTTTCTCGGACTATGTTCTTCCGCGGAAATGTTCAGAGCATTCCCAAAAGTGCCTGTAGGAAAGAAGACCCAACTGTGCTTGAGCAAGTCTACAAGATGCATCTCCATGCATCCACGCCCCACAGACAGCTTTGGGAGTGCTGAGCCGCGCAGCTGCCTTAATGGGGCACTGTCCGTGGTGCTAATCCCGGTTGGGGGTGGTTGAGCGTCCAGCAACACGGAGAGCTCCTTTTACAGCCAGACTGGGGCTCTGAGTGGCTGCAGGTGCCCCACTGGTCCTGGAGACACCATTCTCTACACCCCTGAGATATCAGCTGCCCGAGCTCTCCGGTGCCTTGACAGGTCGGGATGCTAAGCTGAGAGAATAGCAAAGTGCGGAGAGCTGGCTGGGCTCCCAAAGGCCCCTGGGCCACACCACAATCTCGCTTCCAACCCACCTCCTGGCTTTGTTTCAACCCTTCTACTACCACTAGTTGTGGTGGGGAAAGGAGAGTTTCGCACAACATGAACAGAACATCAGATGGAGGGACTGAGAGAACACCAGACGGAGGGCCAAATCCAGCCTTCCTGAGGTCCCTGGATGGCTGCAGTCCTTTCCTCTGGCTCAGTCCTTTCTCCCACGGCCACCAATCGATTGGTGGTTTCCCGGCTTTGGTGCAGTTCCCACCCGCACTTTCGACAAGGCTGAAATTCATCTCCCAGGACTTCCCTGCTGGCAGAGAGAGCCTGAAGCAACAATGAGCTGGAGCTTTTTTTGTAATCGGGGCCTCACCCCCGTGGCTTTGGCCCCAGTGCATTCCTGAGTGCAGCTCCAAAATCGATCCTTGGCTGAAAGAAGTTCCTCAGGAATCGGCACCACCATAATTTATATAGCTCATCTTCAAAGAGTTCCATTCAGTCTTGTAACATAAGCCGGTATTTTATGATGGTTGCTAATTATTATTATTATTATTATTATTATTACTATTATTATTATTATTATTATTACATTAGATGCATAGCCCACCTTTTTCCCCTCGTGAGGAACCCAATGCAGCTTACAAACCTCCATTCCTCCTCACAACAACCCTGTGAGGTGGACTAGGCTGAGAAGGAATGGATGGCCCGAAGTCACCCAGGGTCTAGAACCTGGTTCTCCCAGGTCCCCAGTCCAAGCACACCACCTGCACACAGGTGGTGAGGCTCTGGAGAGCTGAGGCGGAAAAGAACGGACATGCCGAAGGACTCCTAGCAACCCCCTGGCAAGCGGGGACTCCAGCAAGGACCCTCTCAGTCTGCAGCAGCGCACACACGACGGCTGAGCAGGCGCTCTGTGGGGCATGCAAACTTTTGCAGCTCTTGGGCACTTTTGTATGTGGCCTGAGCAGCGGCATGCGGCTTGCCTACTTTGCTTTTAAACATAGAAGCATAGAAACAGAGCGAGTCAGAAGGGGTCTCCCGGGCCATCTAGTCTGACCCCCGGCTCCAGCCGGCTCCGCTCACGACATGCCCACCATGTGCATGTCCAGCCTATCCTTGAACACCCGCACCGATGGGGCCTCAACCGCCTCCCTTTTCAAGATGTACCCTTCCACATGTAAAGCAGGAGCAGCTGCTGAAGAACAGCAAAGGTCCCCGTTCGAGTCCATGCAAAGCATTAAGTGGCAGGGGGTTCGCCATGGGGAGAACTGGCGTGGAGACACAACAGCTGGCTTGCAGACCCGGCGCTCCTAGCGCTCACCCTTCAAAGTCACTATGCAGCTGCACTGTCTTTAAAAGGCAGAAGGAATGGTGGGAAAATCCATAAGGGTTGTGGATAGAAGATCCCTGTAAATCAAAATCTAGATCCCCATAAAATTCCGGGAATGAGGTAGGAGAATAAATGCTTCCCAGGGAACTACCACCAGAAGGTCGTCTTCGGGGCCATGAGATCAGCACCACCCATGGAACAACAGGTGGTGTGAGATGCAGCCCCAAGCACACGTCACCGGGTATTTATTGAATCTGCCGGCCTGCCGAGCATTCTTGCTGAGTCTCGGGCAAAGCGTCTCCCAAAACACAGAGACAAAGGGCTGGCAGTCTCTAAAATGCTCGTGGCTCCTTTTTGGGAAGAGCGAATTTGCAGCTCCTCCGTAAACAGAGGATGGTGGGCGAGGAAAGCAATTGTGACAGTAATACCCAGCTGATCATCACACAGGACTGCAAAGAGACTGTTTAAAAGCCAACACTGCAGAAATGAAAGAGGGAGAGGAAGCCAAACTGAGCCAGAGGTTCCGGATTCTGAAGCGCTGTTTTGTTCCAGACTTGACCCAAGCCAGCTTTTGACAGCACCTTAAAGCTATGAATGGTGGCCAAAGAGAGTGCTGGAAAGTAGAGAGAAGAAAATACAGAGAGAGTGAGAGAGAGAAACATAGAAACACAGCGAGTCAGAAGGGGTCTCCTGGGTCATCTAGTCTGACCCCTGGCTCCAGCGGGCTCTGCTCATAACATGCTTACCATGTGCATGTCCAGCCTATCCTTGAACAACTTCACCCATGGGGCCTCAACCACCTCTCGTGGAAGCCCATCCACACCCTCAGGGTCCTGACTGTCAGGAAGTACGTCCAGGGAACCTTGGTTCCCTGAGCTTTGCTCCATTGGAACATGTTCTGCCCTCTTCTGCAGGGGGAAACAGGTCTTTACCCACCTCCGTGACGCATCCTTAACTAGATTGCACTTATTCCTGGGATTTTATCCAAGCAGCAACTCCAAAATTTACCATGAAATTCTGTGGATGAACTTTGAAATACATGAAAATGCTGGAGTGAGAAGCCATCATATTTATATGAGTAAGTCACGAGCCGTTATACTCTGAGTAGACACCACATCTGCTGATGTGCAAGGGCCAGAATCCCTGAACCATGTTTCCCCCGTGGGGTCTCCTCCAGGTGCGTTGGACTAGGGTTGCTCTGGGAAGGATCTCCAATGCACCTGGAGGAGACCAGGTTCTGGACTATTCTACGGCAACCTTCTGAATTCTGATGGTACAGTCCAAACAGAGAAGGTCCAACAGAAGGCGTTCCCATCACTGTCCAGTTGTTGAACTTCTTGAACTGGAGTTTTGGATAAGCCATTGGCAGCTCTCTGGAGAAGGTGCCAAGAGAGCCCACTTGGTCCAAGAATGACACGCAAATAACAAGCCAAAGGGCAGTACTGGCTCAGTGGTAAAAGCCACCAAAGCTGCCCTGCCATGGACCCAATGGATCAGCGCACGACCCAAGAGAGGCGGCTCGAAATCCTTTGCGACTCCACTGGTGACCGAGGGTGAATAACGGGAATTGTGGCCGGCGTGTTGTGTGGAGAAAATGGATAGGAAGCCCTTTCTCACATGCACACAAACGTCATCATTCTGTGAAGCTGAATGGTGCAAGATTCAAGACACGTAAGCAAGCATTTCTTCAAAGCCATGGCAATGGCCACCAATGTGGATGGTCACTGCAAATTCTGAAACCTGCTACAACATTGCAAAAGCATGGGGTGGGGGTCCCTCCTGAACTGTGCAGGGCGGCTCCGTTGGAGAACAAAGCCAAAACGTCTTGGAGTGCCCTTGAGGAAACAGGGCAGCGAAACCCAGAAAATCGGAGCATGCTGAATTCTGCATGCTGCAAATCATACACGAGCTTCCAAGTTGCCCGCAGCTCTTTAAAGCAAAGGGCCAAGACGCTCTGAAAAAGCAGCCAGCTGTGAGCATTTCTCTGAACTGCCTGGGTAACCGCACAATCCTGATGAAATGCCCAGAAGCCTCGCGCCATGCCGCAGCAAGCCCAGCGAGACCTTGGCCCCGTGTTCTCCCACACGCAGTCCTTCCCCCTTTCCAGGGACACTTCAGACTGCAGATGGAGCCTGACTGGACCGAGGCAGTCTTCCCTCAGAAAGACTCCCTGCACCCGGAAAGCGAGCAGGTCAGGGAAAATACCAGACATCGCCCCTCCCCTGCTCACTGTGCCACTCACGCCTACATTCAACTCTTGATCTGTCATTCCCCCAAGGAAGGCCCTACTTCAAGCTGTACTCCACCCACCAAGAATCTGGCCTACTGATTTCCAACAGGCTCTCTTTGGATCCCTTGTGCCCACAGAAGAGGCAGTGGGCCGTGAGCATAAGGACTAGACACCTGACATTGATCCAGAGCATGACTCTAGAGGGGAGGGAGTGGGCACAGTCGGAGCACCCTGGCGTAAACTGAATGCCTCGCAGAAAAACGACATCTAGTTTCACAGCTGTCGGGTCTTCCAAGCTATGCATAACAGACCTACAGTTGGTAGGAGAGATGCACCGCCCCCTTAGCC